CAATCATTTTCCTCTCATTCACCAAAAACCCCTCTTTCTATTTTACACCCAAACCCTAAGTTTGTTCACATTATCCCTAAATCCCACCATTATTACACAACGACACATAACCAAGTTAAAAACTATGTTAGAGTGTAGAAAAAATCCCTACCTCAAGTAGAGAAGACCAAGCAAAGCAAATTGGAACCCTCAACAATGCCGAAACCAAGTTCCAATCGGATCAAAATGAAGCTCTTGGAATACTCTAACTTTTTCCCAAAGACACTAGGATAGGGAACCCAAAGGATCTAGGTCAAAATGTAGAGAGAGAGAGAGAGAGAGAGAGAGAGAGAGAGTTTTAAAGAGAGAGAGTCAAGATCTAGGTTTTTGGAAAGTTTTAGAGAAAGAGAAGAATGAAAAAGTGATATAAAATGTCATTTTCGCGATCTGATATACGCACAGTCTGCTTGACAAGAAGAGTTGATGCTCAAGCATTAGACACAAAAATTTGTTTTGCTCGAGCGCAAGAAGTCTTGCCGCTTGAGCGCAGAATACACACCTCCAGTACTTTTGCAAACAACAGACAAACCGCTTGAGCACCCACCCGCTCGAGCGTAGGAAACGCCGCTCGAGCATGGAAAACACCTCTCCAGTACTTTTGCAAACGTGCAAAGTACTGAGAGTTTGCAAACCCCACTCGAGCACAAAAGGGGCCACTCGAGCGGAGAACCAAAATTCTAAGCAACGCAAGGTTTGAAAACCAAGCAACTAACATATTCCAAACACACTTAACACGTCCAAATAACCAAATTTAAGGAGGAATAAAGAGCAAGGACAATGAACCACACATAGAAACCATAAATCCAAGTCCGGACTACCACAAGTGTCGGGTTAAAACTAGGATCGTTATAATCAGCCACCAATTCCTCCATGCTTACTGCATAACACTTGTTTCCACAATGCTTTCTCCTCCCTACCATACCTTTACCACCACTTTATTAGTGCACAATCATTTACCTCCCTCAAATTCCTAAACCCTAACCCTCCTCGAAACTTACTCAAGCATACCTCCCTCCAACTAACTAGTGAGGTAATAACTAACAATTCAATAAATTTCATATTTTTATTGAGATTAATTATGTTTGCATATCAATAATAATAGAAATCACTAGATTCAAATTTTCATAAATAATAATGACTTATCGTAATCTCTTTATTTTCAATCAAAACAACTATTACTATTATCATAATTTAAAAAATGTCATTAACATTTCACTCTAAATAATATTTTTATTTAAAATATTTTCTTTATGTTTGTAAAAAAAAAAAAAAAAAATTCCAAAACCCAGGGAGGCACATGACCCCCTAGACCTTCTTTACCTGCGTCCCTGATTACAAGTCAAAATAAGTATAGGCAAGAATCATCACTATGAGAAGATACCAGATTTAAGTGGTGCGGCAAATTTGCCTATATCCACGGATATTACCAATCACCACTAGATTAAATATGTATTATATATCACATCTCCAAATATATGAACATACAACAAATCAGACTGAGACGCAATAATCTCACTCACTGTAAGGAGATTTAAGCTCTTCACAGTTGCTAAAAACTACCACTCTCCGATGCAACAAAATATCACATCTTAGCCTATCTCTCCTAGGATACAACAACCGACTTATAGTCGTGTTGACTCAACCAACCCTACAGAAACAAGTGAGTCTAAAACTCCACCACAAAAACACATTTATAGATTACCTAATTATTTTTGTATAAACACAATATAATATATATATACACTCACAATTCTCCATATATATTATAAATGCACACGCTCTAATATACATACATAAACAAATGAAGAGTCCTCGTATTTACGATAATAATGACTTAAATGATGCTAAACTTTTCACGGCATATCATACGATGGCATTTGTGTGTATGCCATGAAAGAGTTTTTACGACATGTATTGCAAGTCATAAAAATTCAATTTTGTTGTAGTAGTGGTGGCGACCCCAAGAAGACATGGTGTCGACCCCAGAAGCAAAACCAACTTGAAAAGAAAGAAGAACGACCGTTTCGAATATGGTTTTCCAAATTCAAAAGCAATAAATGGGCCAGGTCTAAACCACAATTGCTACATTTTCCATAAATTTTATCATCATGACACACTTTAATTTTAACAGTTACGCAACAAAATTTAGAAAAACAAATTAATTTGCAAGCACTAACATCACTAAATTCCAACAGTTTAGTCAACAAAATTTAAAACCAATTAATTGACAAATATATTCTCATAATGATTATATGTCATTAATTCAATTATGTCCAGTTTTAGTATTAACAAATAACAATTCAAGATCAAACCTAATTGATAATAAATTATAATAAATTATTTATATATCTTTTTATAACACATTTTGACTAGTTTAATTTGAACATTATTCAAAATCTTATTGCATTCTGAAGGACAACCTAAAATAACAGTTACAATATTAAAAACACTCATTTACTCATGATTAACCTGTTCTCATAGTAACTGCGAGGGAGATTTGCACCGAATGAGTGGGCCGAGTTATGGCAGTGCGGGATATGGTATTGGGCCTTGCGAGGACCAAAGACTTTGTGCCTAACCAAACTGGACCAACGCGGCTCCCCGGCCCAGTACGTTGGGCCGGGCAGACCGTTGACTAGAATGTGGAGGTGTGCAGGTGCTCAACTGAGCTATGATTCGGCGTAAATCGATATTCAATTAGATACGCACTGATGTGTTGGCCCGAGCTACGGACAGTCTGGATTGATGTAGGGCCAAGACGTCTTACGAGATAGCATGATGAGGCTAAGATGATGAACCACACGCCCTACGACGAATCAATTCAGATGGACCGGTTTATTATAGCTCGGCCATTCCAGTCCGTTGTGATGTTTGCTTCTTCCAAGTGATAGCCCCGTTATGTAAGACACCTGGACTAATGGTAAAGAAGGGAAAATCCACTCCTGGTATGCGTCAATACCGTTTTGAGGTTTTGGTCTCTACATATGTAAGGAAGGTAAAGGGGAGCACAGTCGCTTGCCTAGAGAAGGACAGTAAAGGTAGTGCGCCCACAATCTCTGAGACTGTATGGCCAGCCTAGAAAAAGAGAAACATGGAGACGTTAGAGGTAAGTAATCTGAGGAATCCCCAACTCTATTTTCCGATAGTGCTCTCTTCATTTTCTTTCTTCTTCTCCAAGTGTGCTAACTTGATCGTCGTAGGGTTTATCCAGTAGCACACCGTCGGGCTGCTCACCATCTTTTTATTCCCAAGTTAAGCGACGTTACATGAAACTTGGATTTAAAGAGTACAAAGAACTGAGAATATTTCACTCCCATACAATTGGCGCCGTCTGTGGGAATCCTTTGATAGACAAGCCTTTCCCTCCAAGCTTTTTCAACGTTTCCATGGCCAACAACAACGAAACACTATTGTCCATTGTCAACGGCATCACACCAGAGTCTATCTGAAGGAGAGATGGCCCTCCCGCTATTCTGACCATGGTGGACCTGGAGGCCTCTTCATGAGACGCGTGAGACAAACACGCGAGGAAAACTGAACATTTGAAGAGTCCTCTGAGACGCCGACGGCGAGAAGAGTCGCTTGCTCAGCGCTTGGAGCACAAACTCAGAGACCAGGACACCCTTATTCAGAAGATGGCGACTGAAATAGAGACATTGAAGTGCCAAATCAAAGGGAAGGGTGTTGCTGGAGTGGGTGACCACGGTGAGAGCACCCCACTCTGTCGCTCTGACAATCGTCGCCAACATGGGACGCCCTCTCTCTTTATCACCAGAAGCTACGGAATTAGCGACTCTGACCCACCAGTGGAGAGATCTTACACGCGCGACAACAGCTACCATCCTTTGTATCCATCGACGACGTCAAGATACTCTTACTCCGCCCATTTGGGGGACCTGAGGGATGTGCTAGAGAAGCGAGCCCGCTGTAGAGAGGCCCAAAGATTGTCGACGCTGCAAAGGCTGAGTCCCCAAATCCATTGCAGTGAGGAAGTGGCCATGCCGGCGCCTAGAATGGTGGCTCTAGCACCGATGGACAGAGAGCTAGCAAGACTTACCATTACCCCACTGTCCCTAAAGATCGAGAGCACACCACTCCCTGCCAGATTCTACCAACCTAAGTTCACGCTGTACAATGGCAAGACAGATCTGTACATGCACGCTAGTCATTACCGACACGTAATGGCTGGCCATCGGCGCAACGACGCCTTGATGTGCCTCATATTCCTAGCAAGTTTGGGAGAACTGGGCCTGAAGTGGTTTGAAAGGCTTCCGAAGGGGAGCATCGAGGGGTGGCAACAACTAGTAGAGGCCTTTGTCACTAGGTTCAAGACCAATACTCGATCACCGAAGGAGGTCGACCACCTCCTGAGTGTCAATATGGAGTTCGGAGGTTCTTTGAAGGCATACAATGCTAAGCATTATGAAACCTACAATGAGATCCTCGATTGTCCCACCAATCTGGCGTTCGCCTAATACAAGCGAGGTCTTCCAGTCAGGCATAGGCTGTGAGATTCACTCACGATGCATCAGGCCACAACCATGGAGTCCTTAATGCAGCGGATCAACGAGCATATCCGAGTAGAGGATGATGCCGCCACTGCCACTGCAACTGAGAAGGAAAATCCAGTTGCGGCATACAAAAGGGTGGCTGGGAAGGTTCACTTGGTAGGGTAGGAGGACAACCACCCTAATAACCGAGCTAGAGACCAATATTGCGGTTCAAACCGCAATGATAGAAACAAAAGTCGCGAAAACGACCGAGCTAACGCTCTTTGAAGCGAAGAGGAGAATGCCAAGAGGAAGTTGAAAGCAAGAACTGGCATCACCACTGTCTTTAAGATCCCAATTTATCGCATCCTCAGTGAAATTTGAGGTGAGCCATACGTGCGTTGGCTGGCTAAATTGGGAGACGCTTAGAGGGGCTTCAACTCGAGGTACCGCTGCACCTTCCATGAAGAAATGGGGCACCAAATAGAGGACTGCGTGTCACTCAAACAACACTTGGAGGAGCTGGCTGTAACTAGGCATTTGGATCAGTACATTGACGGGGGTATGAGGGCTGCTCCACAAGGACAAGCTGAGCCAAATGGCCTTGCCGTCCTAGATGCGGCACTGCAAGGAGTAATCAATGTCATTCACGAAGTCATCGAACCAACGCGGGTTTGTGAGCTAAAGGAGATGATCATGAAGGCCGAGCACATGAGAAAAGTGCTCTCTGTTCAACCCGTCGTGAAGAAAGGGAAGATCGAGATAAAAGACGTCTTAACTTTTTCAAGAAAAGACTTGGAAAGACTAGAAACACCTCATAATGACGCCCTAGTTGTGACTCTTCATGTCAATGACTTCAACATCAAAATAATACTGATTGACTAGGGGAGTTCGGTCGAGATCACGTACTACAATGCATTCAAACAAATGAGGTTGGAGGACAAAGACCTAGCTCCAGCAACGTCCCCTTTGGTTGACTTCAACACTCAACCAGAATGGCCGATCGGAAAAATCATATTGCCGGTCAAGGCTGGATCAATCAAGAAGAAGGTGGAATTTTGGGTGCTGAAGGTGCCATCGACCTACAACTTGATCTAGGGGAGAGGTTGGTTGCACGCCATACAAGCAGTAGTGTCCACTTATCACCAGGGCATGCGCTTTCCTGTACTAGTTGGGCAAGTCGAAGAGGTTTGGGGAAACCAAGTGATGGCAAAATAATGCTTTATCGCAGTGAATGGCAGTCGGGCTTCCAAAGGCTTTCTTCAAATGATAGAAGGGCCAGAAGGAAATAAAGTCCTGGAAGATGTGGGAAGAAAAGCCGAAGTGAAATAGGTTGAAGATTTGGTAGAAGTGCGCATTGATGAGAATGATCCAAATAAGTTTTTTCTTTTGGAATCATCTCTGTCCAGTGCTGAGCGGCTCGATTATGTCAACTTTTTGGTTTCTAACGTTGAGGCCTTTGTGTGGACGCCTTACGATATGCCTGGCGTCGACCCTAGCTTCATTTGCCACTAGTTAAATGTCTTTTCGAATGCACAACCCGTCATTCAGAGAACACGGCGCTCAGCCTTGCACCATGCCGAAGTAGTGGCAGAAGAGGTCAAAAACTTGCTGGAAGCTGGGGCGATAGAAGAAGTGCAATACCCCAGATGGATCTTTAACACGGTGGTAATACATAAGAAGAATGGTAAATGGCAGGTGTGCGTCGATTATAAGACAGTCAACCGTGCATGCCCAAAGGACAGCTTCCCCTCCCAAGAATCAACCAACTGGTGGATTTAATCGATGGCAATCAAAGGTTTAGCTTCCTAGACGCGTATCGCGACTATCACCAAATCGCTATGTACAAACCAGACCGAGAGATCACTTCATTCACGTACTGCTACAGGGTCATGCCGTTCAGTCTCAAAAATGCTGGGGCAACTTTTCAGAGGATGGTAACCAAAATATTTGCTCCTTTTCTTGGCTACACTATGGAGGCTTACATTAAAAACATGGTGGTGAAAAGCAAAGACAAGTCCCAACACCTGGCTGACCTAGCAGAAATGTTTGTCGTCCTTAGACATCACAAGCTGCTTTTAAATGCCTCCAAGTGTGCATTCGGAGTGGGAACAGAAAAATTTCTAGGTTTTTTGGTCACCAACCGAGGAATTGAAGCCGACCCTTCCCAGATCAAGACAATACAAGAACTGGAGCGGCCAAACTCCAAAAAGGGCGTACAACATCTCACCAGAATGACAACCGCGCTGAACCGATTTATCAGCCGGTCTTCAGATCGTTATAGTCCTTTTTTCAAGACTCTGAAAGCCAAGTTTTTCTGGGATGAAGAGTGTGACCACGCACTGGCAGATCTAAAGGTATACCTCTCCTCGGCCCCAATCCCGATCACACCACGGCCGAGCGAAGAGCTGTATCTCTACTTGGCAGTTTCTCAGCACGCCGTAAGTGCAATCCTCGTCTGTGCTGAGAGGATCTAGCACCTCTCTATTTTCTACGTTAGCATGACACTGCTCTCAGCCAAATTGAGATATCTGCCACTTGAAAAATTGGCTCTGGCTCTCATGATGGCCTCCAGAAAGTTGGCGCACTATTTTCATGCCCACACAATAGTTGTGCTAATCGAATTTCTGCTCAAAATGCTCTTTGAAAAGGCAGATTTCACCGGCCAAATTCTGAAGTGGGCCGTGGAATTAGGACAATACGACATCAAGTTCCAGCCGCGCACTGCTATCAAAGCTTAAGCCCTTGTCGACATCGTGGTGAAATTCGCCCCTGGAACACACCCTGTTTTCCCTGTTGATTTGGCTAGTATGGACTTGGCATAGCCCATGGCTGTGATAGCAGACAAAAGTGGTGGGGAAAAAGTGGTAGAATGGAAAGATCAAGCCGGACAAGAAATAGAAGAACCGGTCAATTTGCCAAAATACAACCTTGAGGGAGATGCAGGAAAGGGTCAGACCGAGTCGACCAGTACCTTGGAGTTGAGGAACTCTCAAACCCCTCCGACTGCTGGAAGCTGTTCATTAGTGATATGTGAAAGCTCTCCATCGATGAGGCCTCCAACAGACATGGCGCCAGGTTGGGAGTCGTGTTAACATCCCCAGATGGGTTGACCATTGAGCATGTGATAACACTTGGATTCTCAACATCCAATAATGAGGCAGAGTATAAAGCCCTCCTCGTCGGGTTGAAGAGTGCTTTAAGAATGAAGGCATTGAAACTTATGGTATTCAGCGACTCCAAGCTGGTGATCAATTAGGTCTCTGGGAAATATGAGGCCAGGGATGAAATGATGGCTAAGTATCAAGCGCTGGTACGTGCAAATATCAAAAAGTTTTCCGCAATAAGAATGGAACAAATTAACCGCGAAGAAAACAATGAAGCTGATGAATTGGCCAACCTAGCATCTATGCAAACGACCTTTCCCAATCTTTTGTTGATACAATTCTTACCCCGACAGAGCATTGAGGAACCAGACGCACCCGAGGTACTTTGCACGGACTTGGGATCGTCCTGGATGGATCCAATCATCACCTTCCTGAAAGATCGAATTCTGCCCACTGAAAAGAAAGAAGCCAACAAGATAAGGGCCAAGTCAGAGCGATTTTGGCTCTCTCCATCTGGTGCCTTATACAAGAAGTCCTTCACTGGGCCGTACCTGAAGTGTGTCCACCCCGACAAGGTTGAAGCTTTCCTCTTCGAGATTCATGAGGGCATCTGTGGAAGCCATATCGGGGGCAGATCTTTGGCGTACCAAGCTATTTCCCAGGGCTATTGGTGGCCGTGTATGCAGGCGGACGCGTAGAAATATGTTTGCAAATGCCAAAAATTTGCTCACCAAATCCACCAGTCGGCCAGAGAGTTGCTTCCCCTTACAAGTCCTTGGCCATTTGTGCTTTAGGAGCTGGACATTGTAGGACTTGTTCCAACCGCTTTGGGCAACCGTAAATTTTTCATCACTGCTATAGACTTCTTCACTAAGTGGGTAGAGGCTGAGCCATTGGCCACCATCAAGGAAAAGGATGTAAAGAAGTTTGTCTGGCAGAATGTCATCACTCGTTTCGGTATCCCAAAAGCCCTCATTTCGAATAATGACACTCAGTTCGACGGAAAACTCTTTTGCGGGTTTTACGAGGAGTTAAAGATAGAATTTTACAACTCTACACCGGCCTACCCTCAATCAAATGGCCAAGCCGAAGCCTCAAACAAAACCATCTTGGACGGGCTGAAGAAGCGACTGGAGAAGTCCAAAGGGAGGTAGGTTGAAGAACTCCCCAATGTGCTTTGGGCATACCACACAACACCAAGGCGCTCAACCGGGGAAACTCCATTTGCCTTGGCTTATGGCATGGAGGCAGTCATACCATTGGAAATCAGCATGCCAACCATCTGATCCAAAAGTTTGAACCAGACTCAAACAATGAAGCTGTAGCCCTGGAACTTGACCTAGCTGGAGAAAAAAAGGAACGGGCATTAATCCACATAGCTGGCTACCAGCAAGAGCTCCCCAAGAAATGCAACAAGACCGTGCATCCTAGGCTATTCAAGGTTGGAGACTGGGTCTTGAGGAAAGTAATGGGCAACACAGTGATCCTTGGAGAGGGCAAGTTAGGAGCAAATTAGGAGGGGCCATATAAAATCACTAGCCTTGTAGGCAAAAAGGCATGCCACTTAGAGGACTTAGACAGCAGAGCTATCTCTAGACCATGGAATACGGCCAACCTCAAGCTATTTTACTTTTGAAATGTGATCTTTTCTACTTCTTTGCTTTTTGTAACTTGGCCTTTTGGCATTAGATGTAATCTGTGATGTGTAATAGAAGATAGCCCATTCTTTCTCTTATACTATGTGTTTCTGTACAAACATATTACAAGGATATTAAGCTACTATGAGTGCCAGGGGAAAGTATTCAAAATCGGCCCGACTTTTGCAGTACAAGTAGTTGTCCGGTTACGGGCTAAATTTGCTCTTTAAACCGAGCTGATTTCACTTGCTCGCCCAAAGCCGAGCTGACCTTGTTAACAGTTCGTGTTTTTCCCAACTTGTATTGAAGCCGAGTTGATTTTGCTCATTGCGTCAAGCTGATTTTGCTCATTACATCAAACTGACTTTGCTCATGATTTATCAAGCTGATTTTCGCTCGCCGTTGTAAAGCTGATTTTACTCATTACATTGAGCTGGCTTTGCTCATTAAACTGAGCTGACCTTGCTCACACCAAACAAACAGTTGGTGTTATGTTCAACGAATGTTTTAAATCGAGATGAGTTTGCTCATTAACCCGAGCTGATTTTGCTCGTTAAAGTGTTTTCATTCCCGAGCTGATTTTGCTAGTTAGACCCCTAACCAAGCTTAATTGACTTGCCCACAAGGCAGTTACCCTTCCCAAATTTTGAAAAAGGGTTTTGCATTTATGCGGGTTTGAAAAGAAATCAGCTCAGCCTAAAAAGATCATTACACTTGGAATGCAACGAGAAGATTTTATCTCTGCTATGTTCGGCCTGATGTATGAAACCGAGCGATAAATATCTCGGCCAAATCAAAGAAAATGATAACAAGGCAAACAAAAATTCGAATACATGGCAAGTGAAAACTTTATCATTTTTCATTAATGAAAAAGTGCGGTTACAAAAGAGGGGCTCATAGTTCGGTTACAAAAAAAAAAAGAAAAAAAGAAAGAGAGACAGACATCAATCCAAATCCACAGCATTCTCTTGGTCGGTCATGCCTACCTCAACATCTTTTTCTTTCACGTTGACCACCGTATCCAACTCATGCTCGGGCTCTTGTTGGACTTGGTTTGCTCTTTCTTCAGACACCTCAGGAGCACGATGTTGGTCGGTGTGTTGCACGGGTAAAGAATCTATCGCAGCTGCCAGTTTTGCCT